CGCCGCAATCCCTTCTCCTCCATTTTCCTCTTGGGATCTTGGGCATGCACGCACATGCACCCAGTGTGAGTTTTAAGCCACCAGGTCGGGGACGCGAACCGCGGTCGACTACATGGGAGTCCAGCAACATAGCCAATACGCTAACTGCTGGTTCCCAAATTAATGATTTTTTAAAAGTTCAGATAGTATACAGGGTCTACAAAAAGTTTATGAAAAGTGTGTATTATGAAAAACAGATTTCAAAATATGTTTGCACAAAAAACACTCTGATACCTTCATTTCATTTTTCCATGAACACTCATGAAGCCCCCTCATAAAGCTTTTTAGCTTTACAGGCAATCTGGCTCTTAAACTCTGCTGCTGTACCACAAAAGCAGCCATAGACAACAAATAACCAAGATGTGGCTGTGTGCCATGAAAGCCACACTCACAAAAAGCAGGCCACCAACCAGAGCTGGCCTGCAGGAGAGTTGGCTGACTATTTCGTGTCTGATAGTTTGCGGGATAGTCTGTAGTAGACTATTGGGCACCTGAATTTTCAAATCCAAGTTGACATCTTCAGAATAACAAACTATTGTTACCCCTACTAGACGCAAGAAATCTAATAACCTCATAGTTAGTGTCAATAAACATGAGTTTACCCAGAAAAGGAATCTTCTTTGTCCTTGCCCAAGAAATCGCCTGCAGTTTTCCCAATGTTCCTCTGATTCCAAAGCCTCCAGGTACCAAAATACCACTGAAATCGATAGAAGATGAGGGTAAATTTGACCATCTATTATTTTTATTTTTAAAACTTATGTTTTGAGCCATTCATGCTTACTGATCCTAAATCTAATGCTTGGCATAATCACTAATGAATATGCTTTGAGGTCTTTCTCTCTCTCTCTCTTTTAGGTTTCTGCTATAGGGCATGTGCACTTGCCAGAGAGACAGACAGAGAAGGAAAATGGGAAATCACCCCCCAGGGGAATAACCCTGCGATCCCTTCTCCTCCATTCTCCTCTCAGGATTTTGAGCATGCATGCACACATGCCTGGTATGTTTTTCAAGCTGCCAGGACCAGGACTTGAATTGTGTGGCCAGTCATGTAGGATCCGGACCTTAACCACCATGTCGCCTGCTGACCCCAAGGTCTATTTTCAAAACTGATTACATGATTTCATATCCTGAACTTCCTTACTGAAGCCCTGCCAGCATTATGGAGAAGTTGAAACAAGTTGTCACAAATCACCTGAATATACATTTTCTTCTAGGTTTTTATGGCATCTGAACATAGTAACTCAGAAATTCAGTTTCATTAAGAATGGCATTTGAAGATGACTCAATAAAAATATGTTACATTTCTTTTTAAAGCACTATAATAAAAATGTTAAGATCATTAAGATCTCTTACATAACCAAAGAGTTAAGCTGTTAAAAACAGCTTAAGATTTCAATTGCTAATTAAATATGGAATGAAAATGTCTTGGCTGAGGGCCAACCAGTGGCATGGTGGTTAAGGCAACTGGATCCCACATGGCCAACTAAGGCAGTTCAAGTCCGAGACCCAGTGTGTGCGCATGCCCAAAATCCCAAGAGGAGTGTGGAGGAGAAGGGACTGCAGTATGGCCATCTCTCCAGGGATACTTTCTCACTTTCCTCCCTCTCTCGCTCTCTCTCTCTGTCTCTCTCCAGTGAGCACATGCACCCTATAGCAGATTTAAAAGCAACAAAAAAAGGGACACTATGAAAATGTCCTGGCTAGAAAACAAATTGCCTTTCAGGCAAACCTCAGTTGAAAAGAACAGGAAGAGTTCCAGAGAAAAACCAGGAAGCCCATGCTATCCTCACGATACAATGCTGCCCCCAAGAGTTCTTTCTGGAATCAACCCCAAATCAAAATATATGGAAAAGAAAACATAATGAAGAGAGAAAGGCTGCCACTCTTGTACTTTAAGTCTGTACAGGTAAAATCCACCTCTGCATCTTTCAGCCGAACTAGCACTTTCCTGCCACAGTGTCCCCATGCTCCCCAAATTAACCCCTTTCCCCTGCACATGCAACATTAACTTGCTTTCAAAGCAATGCCATGTGAATGCAGCACAACCACCTGCAAAGACCCAAAGTACCCCAAACAACCTTACAAAATGCATAAAAATGGGTAAATTGGATCATTATGGGAAAAGCACAGAATCCTATCTGGTGTGGATGGTCCACGGTACTCACTCAGCTTTGCATAGCTTCCGCCAAGCTTCATGGAATTTCCCAGGGTCCTCAGATTCGGTGCTCTGCTCCAGGTCAATGGAGTCTATGTACTAAAAAATAGCCAACAAATAAAACGAACATTTGAGAAAACTGAACATTTGAAGATATTAGAGCCAGCTAATACTATGACTCAACTGTTGAATGTTTACTTATTATATAAAAACTTAACTTGGCACGGGGGATGGAAAAATATCATTTGGGGCCAGCTCGTGGTGTGGTGGTTAAATAGCTTCATCCCACATACCCAACTACATGGTTCAAGTCCTGGATCTGGTAGCTTGGATAACATGCTGGGCATGTGTACATGTGTGCCCAGAATCCCGAAAGGAAAATGGAAGAGAAGGAATTGTGGCATGGCCATCCTCCTGGAGGGTGATTTCTCACTCTCTCTATGGCAAGTGCTCATACCCTACAGCAAAAATTAAAAAAACAAAAACATAACCTGTCTTGTGGCTCTTAGGATCTTCCAGCGAGATTACAAAACCAAATAACCAGGCCTCCACACCACAGTGTGATTATGGCTATGATGGGCAAAGCAGAGAATGCAGGGCCGGCAGATGGCGTGGTGGTTAAAGGTGCTGGACTCCCACATTGTCGACCATGGTTCAAGTACCAGACCTGGTGGCTTGCTTCCTCACTTTCTCTCACTCGCTCTCTCTATCTCTCGCTCTGATCCTCTCTGGTCAAATTACAATAAATAAATACACAATAATAAAATTTTAAAAAGCAGGGAATGCTGCCAAGTAACTAGGTGCCATATGTGACCAAGAACTGGACGCAAGGAAAGCAAAGGAGACATGACATCAGGGAAGGGCTGTGGGGAGGCAATATCCCAGAAGCGGAGCCCTTAGGTTGAATAGAAGTCAGGTGAGCATGTGCCTGTGTGTGTGTGTGTGTGTGTGTGTGTGTGTGTGTGTGTGAGAGAGA